TTGTTTATGTGCAAACACATTCTGGAATGGATGTTGGATTTGGTGTCTCAGCTGCTGCTATGGCTTTGGGATTAATTTGCTTAGTTTGTGGTACTCTTTTTTACAGAAACAAACCTCCTCAAGGAAGCATTTTCACTCCTATTGCACAGGTAAAAATATATATCGTCAGTGTAAACAATATTTATATATACTATCATGTCACTTTTACACAATAGGTAACTAATTTTTTAGGCTCGACTCTCCAAATATGTTATCGCTCTTATGTTGTATACTCTAAAAATACACTATCTTTAAAGTATCTGACATACATTTTTTAAAGAATCTGAACAACATAATTTAAGGGTAAATATCCTTTGGTGACGTGATAGTGTAAAAAATTCTTCCATGAATTGATAGTGTAAATCTTTTATACAAGCTAAAGATTGATTGATAGGTGAGATAAAAAATACTTTATAAATTTAAAATAAGATATGGAATTATTTTATCTCAAATTTAATTGGTCGGTGTGACAAGGATAATAGTTCGATGGTCCCATTACGCGTACGAATGGAGCATTGAAAACCTTTTTAAGGTCTTTTAGGATAAGAAACAACTAAGTTTTTGTTTTTGTATTTTTATATTCCTTCTTTTATGTTTGACTTTTGTTTCTCCTTTTAATATTACATTATTACAAGGATGTCTAATAATGACGATTTAGAATTGGGTTGGTTGCCATTTTCTCTGTTTGCTAATGCTACAATTTTTAAAAATAATTATATTTGTGAATCTTTAATAAAAATAATATTATTTGATTATGTATGCAATTTTGTTAACTTTCACTAACAACATTAAAGTAATCCTTCCATATATTAAATAAAACAACTTAATTAAATCAACATAACCTATGTAAGTTGTCGTATTCTAATTCATGCATATTCTAGGAAAGAGCCTCATCATTTTTTTTATATTTTCATCCCTCGTTAGAGTATCCACCTTTTTCTCCTTTAATGACTCGAACATAGTAAAAATACTTGATATCCAAACAATTCTCATCGAAGATTGAATTTTAAATTATCAGTAAATAAAACTTAAAATAAAAAATAGTTAGAGAACTATTGAATAAGTGGTGTTAACTATTGTTATATATTTTTTTGTGGTTTAATGACAGGTAATGGTGGCAGCATTTTTAAATAGAAAACTTGTTTCTCCATCAGATGCACATATGCTTCATAAGGCCCACCCCACAAAGGCTCTTCCTAATGCCAATCCCACCATTAATCTTCTCCACACCAATAGATTCAGGTATTTTTTTAATATATTGATATTGCAAGTATATATATTTTAAAATTATTATTGTGTTATAATATGTTGTAGCAGCCTAGCAGGTAATATACTTTATTTTTTGTTTGATAATGTATAAATACGAGGATTTGTTGAAAGCAAACTTCTACCTTCTTAAGATAGGAGTAAGAACTGTGTACACTATTCTTCTTGTTTGATAATGTAAAGATACGAGGATTTGTTGGAAACTCTACCTTGTTAAGATAGGAGTAAGATCTGTGTATACCATCCTTCTTGTTTGATAATGTAAAGATATGAGAATATGTTGGAAAGGAAACAAACTTTCTACCTTTGTAAGATAGGATTAAGATATGCGTACACTATCCTTCTCATACCCCTTCTATGAGATTACACTGAATTAGTAATATTATCATCATAATGTTCTATAGTTTAACTTAATACACATAATCATAAAAATTATATTATCAGATCATCTAAAAGATATTTACGTGAAATAATTTTTGTTTCCAGGTTCTTGGACAAGGCTTGCACAAAAATGCAAGATGGAAATACCACAAAAGAGATTAGTAGATGGAGACTTTGCACAGTAACACAAGTAGAGCAAGTCAAGATCTTAATTTCAGTCCTCCCCATATTTGCTTGCACTATAATTTTCAACACCATTTTAGCACAACTTCAAACATTTTCAGTCCAACAAGGAAGTACCATGAACACTAAACTAACTAAAAACTTCCATATCCCTCCAGCTTCCCTTCAATCAATCCCTTACATAATGTTGATCTTCATAGTCCCTCTCTATGACACATTCTTTGTCCCGTTCGCTAGAAAATTCACCGGTCATGAATCAGGTATGTTGAAGTATGTGACTGTCTCATTAAAATGTTTGAACTATTAAATAGTCTATGACTGATTACTATTTATATTATATTATGTCTCAACAGGTATCACACCTCTACAACGTATAGGTGTTGGGTTATTCTTCGCGACTTTCTCCATGGTATCAGCAGCCTTAATGGAAAACAAACGTAGAATTTCCGCGGTGGAATTGAACGAAACCCTATCAATATTTTGGATCACACCACAATTTTTGATATTTGGAATATCAGAAATGTTCACTGCAGTTGGATTAATTGAGTTCTTCTACAAACAATCTTTAAAAGGGTCAATGCAATCATTTTTAACAGCCATAACATATTGTTCATATTCATTTGGATTTTATTTAAGCTCACTTCTTGTTTCTTTAGTGAACAAAATCACTTCATCTCATCATGGTGGTGGCTGGCTAAGTGACAACAATCTCAACAAAGACAGGCTTGATCTATTCTATTGGTTGTTGGCAATATTGAGTTTACTCAATTTCTTCAATTATCTATTTTGGGCTAAATGGTATTCCAAAAATGGATGTTCATCATCAGCAACAACAAATCAAGAATTAAATTCCAAAGTTGTTGGAGAAGATGGTATAGTTTAATTTAATTAGTGGAATATTAATTATTATGTACTCGTATTAGGGGAATAATTATTGTCTCTAAAATTCTAGCTCTAAGGTGCCTATGGCAATTATGGGGATACATAATAATTAACTCTACTACTTAGGTGATATTGGAATATATATATATTATGTAAAATGTCTATAAATGTTCCACTAATTATGGAGGTATTATGTTATTGGTTGGTTATATAAAACCTTTTTTTAAAGCTATTAATATGTACTCTTTTTATCAGTCACTACAACAAAAACACCTTTTAGCGGCAATAACTATACACATTAACAAAGAGTGTTAAAGCCTTTACCGGCATTAGTTAATTGACATTGGATCCAATGTCGCTAAAGGCTTTAGGAACATATACAAAAAGTGTTAATTGCCGCTAAAAGTACATATTTTAGTGGCAATTAAGCTATTGACGACGTTAATTAATTGCTGCTAAAGATCATTTTTGATGTAGTGAGTATAGAACTTTAACATGATAATAACAAATTTTATCCATCAGGTTACATCGTTGGTGATAGATATTATAAAAAAAAATGAGAAAATAAATAAATATTTAGATCGAGACATTGATATCTCACTTTCTTTAAAGAGATTCAAGTTTAATGCGGTATACTCTTCATTCTTCACTAATCCATCCAGTATAACTGTTGACCTATGTCCACTAAAAATAACCATTGATTCAACAAATAATATTCTCTTTTGTTGAGAATAAGTTGAAAACATTGAATATTTTTCTGTCTCAACTCTCTTTTATTTCACCAACCTCAAATTAAATACATAATAGAAAGAACATATGATAGTGATTACCTGAGTCATAAAGAATAATGACATCACTTTCTAAAATTTATGCCCCCTAATATGTCAAGTACTTTAATATTTTAATTTGTAATGTTTGTCCTAGAAATTTACTTGTATTTACCTTGTTAGAAACTTGATCATATAAATATATATTTATTAAATATGCATAAAACTTACTCTTAAAAAGGAACCATTTAATAGTGTTTTATAATAACACACTTTTTGCTAAAAAAGGAGGTCTCCTTTTCAAAGATTATTTTTAGTCAGTCTTCCCAAACCTCTGGCTTTATAAAATTTAGGTAGCATTCCATTTACAACATTCAATGTATCTAAATTTCTTTGCTACATCATTATCAATCAAAAAAGAAAAAATTGACCTCTATATTCAAAATAATAGGTTTGGTTCCTTTCCTTTCACTTATTTGAAGGAATTGTATATAGAAAAAAGATGAGAATGTTACATGCACTAAGAATTCAAATTAGTGATCTAAGACAACTTTTGAATAATATAGCACTACACTAGAAGCTTCATGTGAATAGTTTATATACCTTTTTTTTGGGCATAGTGTAGTTGTTTTGGCTCCTCTAAAGCAAAAATAACAACTCCTATGTGATGAATATTCATGGAACATAATGAAAGCACATATAGATAAAGTCAAAAAGAGATGTAAGTGAGAAGGACAAGGTGGGGCTTTTTTAGGTGGGAAGGGGAAAATGGGAGACATATATAGATATTCTAATGGAAAATCTAGTAAGCTAGCTATATATAAACATGATGACCTCAATTTTACTGTTTTTACCTCAATCGTTTAGTCTTCTCAAAACAAACATGTCTTGGACATGTTTTTCATGTTGGAGCTTGGCCCCTCTTATATTCCCTTAAAAAAACCACTTCTTCAAATGCTCATTAGTATGTTAACTAAAAGTGTATCATAGCTTCCATCCTTTTGGTCATCATATGTATCATAGCTTCTAGCAACACAATTTGAATCAGTGTGACTTTATTTTATTTTTTTACAATTATTACTATTATTCACTTTCCTAGATGGAATAGGATAAGCCTAGCCTATAATGTTGATGGAAGTACATTTTTATGAAATAATTTCCTACAACACTTTTCCCATGTAAGTGCATTGCTATGATGATGATGATATACTTGCATATGACATCAAATGAAAGGGTATTTTTCAGCCAACACTTGAAAGATAGCCTCTATGTCCCTTCAACTTATTGACAAATGTAAGTTGTAATCAGCAATTGAGTCTATTATTTGTTATTAATTTAGTTTAACATTATGAATTTCATTTAGTTATAGTTCAAGGGGATAACAGCAACACCCCATACTTTTAAGTATGAAAGTTGGTCTATGTGGATTTTTATGTATTAACCATAAGCTTATCTAGCTTATTCAAGATTTGCCAGTAAATGTGACATAATTATAGTAGATTAAGATGACTATGAGAATGAATCAACCCAGTCGAGGAGATAAAGCCAGGAACTAAAATCACTTGGTCGATACACGAAAAAATAAAAACAAAGTGAAAAGTAAACCCTGGCGGAGTCATCAAGAACTCTGTACTAGGGAGAAACATCAGATTACATATAGGTAGAGAACATACTAAACATAAGGCAGCCAGAAGATGAACGGACAATGGTGTGGAGACCAACATCTACTCATCAGAAGCCTCAGAATTTGCGCCTTTTAGATGCAAATGCTTTTCCCTCTTTTGAAAATCTGTCAAACCTTTGCCACTTCCAGTTACACCAACCTTACCATGAGGATCTTCCGGAGACTTGAAGATGCTCTCACGCTTTCGACCAGAGAAAAAGCCCACCTGAAAAATAAATAATATGCATAAGAAACACCAGCTTAAAAGGCTCTAAAAAGGATGATACAAGTGTAATGCCACACAAATCTGTCTACTACTTTGAGACCACAAGCAAAACTATGAATAACTACGACAACTATGGGATAAAGAAACCCCAATAGCCATGTGAAATCTTTTGCAAATAAACACAGCTTTTAACAAACACAAGTAAAATTATGGAGTTGTTTATTTATATACATGAACAACATTTGATAGAAGTAACAAAATATAATTTTCTGATAACATAGAAGTGAGAAATATAATATAGACAGGGCAAGGCGGTATAAGAACTCGGTGGTAACTGAGTACCCATTATTTTCATAAAAGGCACAATCATATTTCTTTATTCCCCAAAAGAAGCAATGATAAACAAGAAGATGCATGCCATATAAACAATACCATCATAACCCCACCCCTTACATACACTCACGTTTAACCCAGCTTCTTGTCTTAAGTTAAAATCACTACTCAACCTTTTGTTTTATTAGATCCGTAATTTATTTGAATTTCAAGAGTTGGCAGTGTGAGCAATTTTTAGAGGTAGGCACTGCGTGAAACAGTTCAAGGATTCTTGGAGCCTCCGTTTATTTCAACAGTTTATTTTGCTATTGGCAGTCAAAAGTGATTACTACAGAAGACGATCTCAACTGATCATACCCATCGATGTTATGTTGCCAGCAGATTAATTGACAATGAGCCATTATCTATCATATTGCATAGTACTTGACTACTTGGTACTTATTCAAATTAAAAATTATCCTATTGAATAGTAAGCAGCCTCTCTTAAAATCTCGATTCATACATCAGGTTAGCAAATCTGAGAATAACCGACCAGCATACCTTCTTAGTCTGGCCTTTAGTTGACTGAAACTGTTGCCAAGCGTTTGTCCTCTTGTTTTGAGCAACCTCAAGTTGCTCTATCCGTACCTTAGACTTGAAAGCATGAATCTTTTTCTTTTTGGCAGCTTTCTATGAAATAAAGATGAGGTCATGAGCAGGGATGAAAACAAAAACAGACAATTTCTGAATCAAGAAACCACAGAACGCAAGAGGTGAAAGCAAGTAAAGGTGGATGAGTAACCATGTAAAAAATCAACTATCCCCTGCTCTAATTATTTAATGAATCCTTTAACTTTTATACTTATCAGTAATGTTGGATTACTTGCAACTGCTTTGAAGTTATAGTACCTAGACCAGTCTGCAAATGGTGCAGAGCTGATCTCTCTTTCAAGAAAATAAGGATTACTTTAATCAGATTAGACCCCAACCATATAGCCTGTCCTATCAACATATCAAGTAAATTGATGAGGAAAAATACAACAGAACACATGGAGGAATACCAAGTTTGTTCTCAAATAACATTTTCCCAACCCTCAACTCTAAAATTGACATTTAACATACCACATCTTCTGGATCATTAGGATCAATGAGAAGCTTTGCTGGCAAACTTCGAGATTGAATATCACTAGATGCAGCTTGAGCTATCTTTCGTTTGAGAGCTTGTTTAGTGGCCTCAGCTATCTTTTCTGCTTCAACTAAAGGGTTGACAGATGCCTCTTCAAATGGTCTTATATTAGCATGATCCACCTGAAATTACAAGTTGTTGACGTTACATTAATCTCACATTAACTCCGACACTTAACCTACCAGGCATTCTATTTATCTGCCTGGGTGTGACAGTATGACATTGGCATATTGATACACATCTCACTGTACTTTCAACATCCATATGAAAGGCCCGAAAGAGAACGCTATTTTTTAATTACTTTTGGTTGGGGAGGGGGGTTACAAGATTAAAGGGATTAGTGCACCCATCAAAACAACATAATAACATCCCATTGGAAAAGAAAGAAGAATCTATTGGGGGGATATGAGAGATTTCATTCCACCACAAAAACTATTTGATTCTTCTCTTTCAGAAAATTTCCCCAATACACCAGAAAATAGACTCAAACAATCTATACTCCAAAATCTCAAAACAAACACAAAATACACTAAACCTGAATATTTGAGACATTGTGTTTTTGCATTTGTATATCAGAGCAAAAACAAGGCAAAAATTTCATAACGCCATAATCCAGAGGCCCAGAAGTCCAGAACAGATCAAAAACAAGGGAAACAATCATTTCTTAATTTCAATCGGAGAACTAAAGATAGCCTGGCAACATAGAAGCTGGAAAAGAGAAATGGTCTAGCCTAGTTAGCAGAAGTAACAAGATCACAGGATTATTTAGGCCAAAAACAACATAGATATAGTAGTTAAAAGAAAAGAAGAAAAAGAGAATGCTCAAAACTGAAACAGGCTCCGGAGCGAATCAAAACAATTCCCATAAAAGCATAAAGAAGAAGGGCAATACCTCTTCCTTGTTACCCCATTCATCATAACAGACATAATAGCCATTTGGAGTGTGCGCATGAATAGTAGCATCATACCTGGAAAATCAACTAAATCAACAATAAGAAAGAGAGATAAAAGGTAAAGAACAATTGAAAATAGTAAAAAATCTTCATAAGTTGAAAAAGGAAAAAAGAACAATTCACCACAGAAGTTCCTACTCACCACTCTCCGTCTTCACTATAAACAGCTTGTACTTTAGTGCCCACAGGAAACTTATCAGCATGGTCCAATATTGATCCTAACTCCTGCAGACAGAGGAAGTTAGGAACCAAAAAAACAAAAAGGACCACACACACATACAACTCTTTGAGACACCTGTATGGGAGTATAAGGCACAAGTAAATGAAAATAAAGATGGAAGAAGCCTATCAACAAAACACTTATGGCCATTAGCCAAAAAAGGATTAAATCAATGATACACATGACAGAAGAATGAGATACCAATTTACTCACGCTTACTATGTAATATATATATATATATATATATATATATAATCCATCAAAAGGAAAGAAACACAATATTCTATGTTGACCAAACAGAGTATTTATGATATTGAGGATTCATACAATCGATCTCAAAAGTACAAAAAGATAAAACCTTGCAAATTACATCCATGGAGGCTCCTTACCTAAAACGGGTTGGGAATTACAACCATTTTTAGAAACTAACATCGAGAAAGGGAGCCTTTCTTTGGTAGAAATTAGCCAGAAACCACTTTAGATATACAATCATTAACAGCACAAGATAATTCCATCTTTTTCAATTAAAAATTAATGCTTTTCAAGAATTATAGGGAGAAGAATATCCACCAAGGAATAATATACTCTAACAATGTAATTTTTATGATATACCATATCAGAATTCTCAGAATGGTGGAAACCATGAGATGCATCAGCACTGGTCCCGGTACCCATCCCATCTTCACTTTGTTTTGCAGTTACAAGGAGCTCTTCTGTTAAGGCAATTACCTGCAATTCAGAAAGTCATCCTGGTTTAGTACTATTTGCTTTACAAGAGCCAATAAACAAATTAATTTTTTAATTCCAAACTTAGATTCACAGAGTGACATCTGAAATCATGGTATAGAGGTATGCTGGCCACCATCACATATCGCAGACCTGCAATAGAATCAAGACAGGGAAGTGATGGACACCTTGAGAAAGTTGCTAGCTCCAAAATTTTACAATCGCCACACGCCTCACTACCAGTGGGGTAATATTTACTCTATGAAATAAAATCCTCACCTTTAAAACCAAATGATAAACTTATGTTTCTTCAGTCACGAATAGTTCCTTCACACTGCTTGTTTATCGGCAATATAATGTTCGTGTGAGAAAAAGAGAGAAGAAAGTGATACTGGTAATTAATTCAGAAAAGAGAGATAATATTTATCTACAAAGAAGACATAACCTTTTGTACTAATGGATTTCTCAGAGAAATGACAGGATAGTGGCAATAAGCTAATGGGAGATACCATTAAGAAAACGTTTGAAAGAAATTTTCTCAAAAAGAAAACAATTAAAAGAAAAAGAGAAGAACCACAAACAAGTACAAAATGTCACCTCAACAAGCTCTTTCTCCATGTCAATATATTCAGAGTTGTCTGGTTCATCATGTAACAGTTGTCGCACCTGGTAAAAAATAAAGGAAATTTTGTAAATTTGAAGTACAGAAGCTGCAACATTTTATAAATGAGATATACTTGAAGTGAAAGAGTGTGCAACAAGGAATAACATAACCACATTTCCTTTCCACAATATTTGGAAGTTTTCATTGCTACCAGTTGATAAACCCTTCTAGTAAAACCCGCAGGGACCATAGACTTTACTTCTGATCCCACCCTCAGACAGCATCAGTCAGAGACTCCAAAGTACAGTGAAGTCTCTTAACATTCTAATGTTACCAAGTCAACTTAATATCAATAATACACCCAAAAATCAGACATAGCACATTATCAACTAGGACACTGCATCTCTTATGCCTTCTATTAAATAAAATTGTCCTTGAGCAAAGTTAATTCTAATGCGACTTTAGGAATTGCTTGCCATGAGCTGTGGTATCTATATAGGTTGGATCACCAAGCTGACTTCATCATTTTCCAAGGCTCCTTCAACTCGAATACTAATGAAAGTATCTTCAAAAAAATTAAGTTTACAACACACCAGAAAAGTAGCACCCAAGGATATTTTTTTAAAAAGAAATCCCCACCCCAAAATCCTTTTTTTTCTCTAGTACCCTTATCGAACAACCTAATTGCAGCTTGAAGGCTGACACCAATCAATAATGTGTATGTGTACATAAGCTTATGAATTTCGCTTAATTGGAACGAACACTTGAAATTAAGACAGATGATCAATATAGTAATCGTTTGAGTTCAAGAAAAAGATAAAAGGGGCTTTGAAGCTGGAAAAATAAACGAAATTGAGGAAGAATTACAATTACAATTCATTAGGAAGAAATCTTAATAAATTAGGGTTTTACCTGCTGAAGTTGTTCTTTGTAAGTAGAGAGATTCGAGGCCAATTCTTCAATGCTAACTTCATCTCCGCTTTGCATCTTTTCTCTTTTAATTGATCAAACTACTTACAATTCCACAGAACTAACCGAGTATTTCCGGGAACCAATTCGATTTACCGGTGCACGCCGGAGATAGAAAGAAACCCTAGGCTAAAAGATTTATCAGGTCAATTTGAATCTAACTTTCGGGTATTTTTCCGCTCCGCTTTGTTCCCCTGTAGTATATATCTATATATTTTGGAAGTCACAGAGCACCCTTCTAAGTTTCAAATATTTGCATTTCCACCCCTTAAAGTTATAACAAAGTCGTTGTTCTCTTATCTTTTTTGTTTTAAAAAAATTCTGTCCTAGAAACAATATCACACCGTTTAATCGATGGGATGAGGATAATTTGGACCATTGCTATTGAATTAGCTTAAGTCGTTGATTGGTATCGTGACTCTTGATCAATTACATGAAGCTATCATGATTCTATGAGAAATTTAGAAAGCTAGAAATAACCTTGTGTAGAAGGAAAGATTTCTACGGCCTAAAATTATTATCCAAAAGATAGCTCGATTTTGGCAAGATTGGACTAAGGCAAGAACACTGACCTCTAGTTCTATTTGTGATAGAACCTGATTTTGCAACAAAATGGTTTCCTTCTTGGGATTTTACTTCGAGAATAACAAGAGTCGGCATGCTAGTTCGGGATTCTCATGGAAACTTCATCAGAGGTTGCTCTAGTTTATTATGGAGACAACATGACTCATTTATGGCTGAGGCTTAGGGTGTTTGAGAAGTATTAAGCTGGCTAAAACAACACTTTACAACAATATCAATAGTTGTAGAGATGAATTATCTTTTGGTTAAACAAGCACTGGAAAGAGACTGCAGAAACAACTCCTACTTTGATGTTATTTTTCATGATTGTAAAACACTTATGAGTGGCTTTACTTCTATTTCTGTCTTTCGTTAAAAGATCAACAAATCATTGTGCCCACCAGTTAGCTCTGTCTTTCGTTAAAAGAGTAACAAACCATTGTGCTTTGATGTTATTTTTCATGATTGTAAAACACTTATGTGTGACTTTATTTTGTATTTCTGTCTTTCGTTAAAAAATCAACAAATCATTGTGTCAACCAGTTAACTCTGTCTTTCGTTAAAATTATGTCTTTCGTTAAAAGATCAACAAACCATTGTGTCCACCAGTTAGCTCGGGCTTCGGGTTCTATGAATAATGCTATGGAATGGATAATAGATCCCCATCTTTGATTCATGATGTACCCAACTTTGGACCCGTTTGGCCATAGATTTCCCAAGTAATATTTGGGGGAAAATTTAGCAAATAGTGTTTGTCCATACAATTTGTCATTATTTGGCAAATATCCGTAATTTCCAAATACTAGTTTTTTCTAGTATTTGGGCCAAATCTCATTATTTGGGATCTTTTAAAAATTGAAATTTTACACCAAACTTTTATCTTTTACAATACACCCTCTATAGTAGTTGTTTGTGTTGTATTACATAACTTTTTACGTGAACACCAAAGTAGTGATGAATTATTCAGTGAATATGAAAGTGATGATATGGTTGTTGATGAAAATGATGAACAATCGGCTCAAGATAACAAAGTCAGCTTTGTCTACTTCACAATACATGGAATGATGCTTGTTTCCAAACTACCACATTGCTCCGGTGTCATGGACACTACTTGTTTTTTGTTGCAACGAAGATCCAATTGACAAATATGTTTTCCAAATACTATGACCAAACACATGGTGAAATTTTACTAAATAATATTTGCCAAGAATATTTAATCAAAATATTTGTTTCAAGAAAAACTGTTCTAACTAGCAGATAATGGGAATTTCTATTTATGATGGTAAAGCACCCATTGGTAGCTTTACTTCTATTTCTTTGCCTTCCTTTAAAAGATCTTGAGGTTTATTGAGCACAATATGCATGACGTATTAACATTTTTACTGCAATCTAAATTACTTGCAATCAATAATATTTCATGAGATTGTTAGTTAAATAGATTTAGGATTAGATTCTTTGTTCAGACTCCTTTAGGATACAATACCATTATTTTTAGGAACAAATAATATACACACTTAAAATACAATCAAACTGCTAATATATATAACAATCAAACACTTATACCCCTCATATAGCTCTTCGAGTCACATCCAGAGCTTTGCAAACCACCCCTACTATAAGCCCGGAAATCCAACAGTATTAATTAAGAGAACCCGTAAACATAGCTATTATAAGTATTAGCATGAATAATAGGTGTTTCAAAAACACTAAAACAGGAAAAATATCTCATGAATTACTCTAGAAAAGGCTCAGACTTCCGTACAAAAAGAAAACTCAAATGAACATTCCATGAACCCAAAACCAATTAGACACCCATATTACAATGCGCATCACATATATGACAAACCAAAATGCTAAGACTAAACCTATACAGGGTAAAGAGCGTTAAATATCCCATGGTACCATTGATTCAAGTAGCATTCCTATAGGCTTCCATCTCCACAAAGCCCATTTGCTATCAGAGACGCACATTCACATTACTTGCTGTAAAATTATAATAATATTGTCCAAGGAATCTCAAGAACCTTGTTTGAAAATTCTGTATCCTGTGGGATAAACGCTAAGGACATCACTCATTCCTGATAGAACAATACTTGTCCCAGAGTGTGGATGCCTTCCCAATTTCACCCATTAGATTCTTTAGCTTGTGGCTGTAGTCCCCTCCACTGCAAACAATGGGAGCAACAAATACATCATACTAAGGTCTGGCAAACAAGGAAGATCGAGAAAAGAAGAGAGGAAAGGAAACAGAAGTATCAAATTGCAACAAGAATATTTTCCTTTTCACACACGGAGATCGACCTAGTTTATAACTTGTATATTGCACAAAATGCAGTACTAATACTGATGACTCGTAACCTTCATTTTGGTATGAAAATTCTGCAATATGCTACAGAAGGAAAGAAATGGAAATCTTCCATTTTCACAGAAAGAACAAGAATATACGAAAAAGGATAAAAAGGTAATCCCTCTAAATTCTTGATTCAAGACACGTCTACAAAAGCACAATCATTTCAAGGGACACTAAAGATGCTTACCTGATACGATTTAAGGCTGCAATTGCCCGAAGGGCACTTCGAATCATGTCTTCATTGCGATCAACCTCTTGCTTGACAGCATCCTGTTTTGGTCTGAAATTTATTGTTTTCTGCAGAGGATCCACCAAAGAGTCCAGAACTGCAAAAGCAATATATTGTTAACATAGCTTCTGAAGAAGTAAAACACAAACTAGTTCATTAGAGAAAAAAAAGCAGCAAAAAGACTATACCTGCTAATACCGCTGAAGGACACTTATCAGCAAGTTTAGAAAGGATAAGGTGGCATGGCATTTTAACATCATAATGATCTGGGAGAGGAGGCAAAAGATTCAGTTCAGCAGTAAAATTATTGCATGTGAGCGCAGTGACATGTCCAATGATGCTACCCCACACTCATCCCCAAGAAAAAGAGAATTTGCAGACATCAATAAAATCCAATCAAGAATCAGAACACCACATTTGGAAAAACAGAGATAACAATAGAAGAATCAGGTCCATCACAAGCTATCAACTTACCATCCAAACCAGATTGAAGATATGGGACAATGAAAGATGAGGGATTCACTTGATCAAGACAAGTGTCCAGCAAAGTGTCTACACATTCAAAAGCTGCCTTTCTCAGTTCAAGTCCATCATCGACTGTATGCTTGAAGGGACCTAGATCAACCGTTCTTATCAATTCTTTCTGCAAGAGGATAGAAGCATAATCAATGATGGAGAAAGACACCAATCAACTGTTATTAGTGACACTCCCAAAGTACAAGGTTATGAATAATTGATAGGTCCTGAATTATCTTTCAATTATGAGACACAATTAATCTAACTTTTAGTCAACAATCATGCATATACCATCCTAAATGATAGGAGGTAGAAGTTTCCATTAGTAGGATCAGTACAGGTTCTCTTTGTTCTTATTTCCCTGATAACTGTAAGATAATTGTCCACATATGAGAGAGGGTTCTGAATTTGAAGAGAATTAACCAACATGGTATGTCAAATGAGGCTGCTAAACAAAAGCAACAAACCTCTAATAAGGTGAATGCCATACTATATATGACCATATGGGCACAAACATATCCTAGTCCTAGTACTTATTTACTTGAGACAGATGCCCATAAGATGATCATGTTCACAAAAATATACATATAAAGATTAGCAATAAGATCATAGGCAAAGTCTGGCCCATTCCTACTGTTGGAAAGGGTATGCATCGACTTAATTGCATCTTCGACTTTACAATTTATACCAACGTATATGGATATGTGTGACTTGGTTTTAGTACGTTATGTTATCGGCATGCTAGCTGATAATATCCAACAGTTGTCTTGGTCAATTACCTGGAGATTTGGAATATGATGGCATTATGCTCGTGGGGAGATGAAACAAGCCTACTATTTCATACCACCATCTAACCAAACTTTAAATCTACAGTTATCCATCTCTGACTCACATGATTAGAGCTTCAAATAAGTAAAAATACAGAAGTACAAAGAAAGATGATGTGCTTCATCAATGAATTGTAGATAGTAAATACTTGCTCTAAAAGTTGCATGCAATTATCCTACTACTCGGGAATAAGAGTATTCAGCAGGATGTAGTGTTATCCTTGGGCCCACAGCTTTAAGACAGCAATCAAATACATATCTCAAAGAACCAAGAGTTGGAGTTTTGCCGATGCATGTAAATATAAATTGTGCCAAACTCTCGTACGAACATATGTAGACAAAATGAAGGTGGTGTACCCCATTTTCAAGTGCCTTGAAATACAACCTAAACTAAAATGCACAAAAAACTGATTAAATTTTAAGGAGATATTTGTCACCTTAATTATAGTCTGATCATAGAGAAGTGGCAAGAGTTCAGGTAGAAGGCCCTTTATCAGGTTAGGCTTGTTATGAGCCGCGGTACTCAAGGCCAGGACAGCTGCACGCCTGACATGCTGCATAATAAACAAAGCATGTGATGAGAAGTTAAATTAGGGGAACATAATGAAAGACTGCAAGAGACATGACTGGTAACAGGAGAACTATAAAGAGACGAACAGCATAAAAGTAAACACAAGAATCACTAGGTTGGGGGGCTTTGGGGTGTGTGTGT